GCGGGTTCGTGATTGCATGCAGTTTAAAGGATTCTGCGTGTCAATTTCACTTCGTAGTCTTTGATCGAATATAATATTGTATTATGACGCATATGCCTGAAATTTGTACCGAGGATTTCTAATTTGATTATGGAGTATGTCAAGCTGAAATATTTCAAGATTGATATGTGATGGCAAATACTAACTACTAAGAGCTAAGAAAGCAGTTAATATCTAAAGGACATGCACGTTGTCGTTACATGATCTTTGTCTTGAGGAGAATAAAACTAGTGACATTTTATTGTGGTCCAATATGATTTCGTGTTGCTGGTTTAACAAAAGGAATCGTTGAGGTCGACTGAGTTCATTTATTTTGCCGGTTGGTTCGTAGTTAGGGAATGAAAGAATGATGTTTGTTTTAGATTCTTTTCTCTGGAGAAGGTGAGGACAAGGAATGCAAGTTTGTTAAGTGGAGGTCCATATTCTTGCCGTAAAAGAATGTTGATTGGCCTTGAATGGAAATATCAAGAATCGTTCATCCACTTGCCCGCGACGTCCCAAATACATAATGTAAACTTATTGGAGACTCAACTGAAATATGCGGCGATTAGGTTCCATCTACTTACTATTGTTATTGGGAGAATTGCAGGCAATTAGGTTTTCAGCAGGAGATTTAATTATTTTAAAGTCCTAATGACAAGTGAACAACATAAACTAGTTTATCAACAAACTTTAGGATATTGCAATTTCCCCCCTTGTTATTTTGGTTAGTAGTTTTATAAAACTGATTTGTAGCTAGCGTGAACAACTGCCTCTTGTCTTAACTCCAGTAAAATCAAAATCCATCAAGAATCGTCCTTAGCCTGGAAAGGTATGATTGAAGAATCTTTTCTTTTGGGTGTCGCTTTGGCAATTATTTTCTATAAATTATTTAGTGTGAATAGTGTTGTAAATGATCAAATCATAATAATTCAATATTTGATCGAGATGCTATAACAGTCACTCCAATCTTGAAAATCAACTATCATCAAACTATCAACTATTAATTATCAATAATTAACTATCAACTATACTCTTCAAAACTTATAATATCTATTCGTTTAAAGAGATTTAAATTTAAATTAATTTTGAATGTGAATAATTTAATTGGAATTTGAGTATATTAAATTAAAAGCTAAATCATACATTTAGTCTTTTAACTTTATATATACAAAGTTTTAATTTAGTTTCTTAACTTTAAAAAGCATACACTTGGTCCTTTAACCCTAGGGTTGTTAGGTTCAAATGATAATTTTTCATCACAATCATGATTATTTCAAAAATTAAAAATAATTTATGAGCATTTGAGAATGTTTGATCAAGAATTAAGATCTTAATATCATCATTTTTTGTTAATAATTTTAGGATTAAAAGATTAAAAGTATACTTTTTTATAGTTAAAAGACCAAATTGAAACTCCTTATAAAGTTAAAGGACTAAATTTATACGTTAACATAATTGAATAGGGAATATCATTATTAAATGAAATTTCAATTGGAGATTCAAATGAAGAAATTAATAATTAATTTTTGATTTGAATAATATCTTAATTGGGATTTAAATATGTTAAATTAAATGAGGAGCATCATAATTAAATAGTAAGTCAATTGGAGTCTTAAATGAAAAAATAAATAAATAATTTTAGATTTTCATCTATTCCCCTTAAACTTCACTTATCTAATTCAAATTCCATTTGAATAAATAAAAAATTGATACTGTGAGAAGTAAACCTTGAGCTACTTTAGATAATACAATTTATTAAAATTTCAAACATATTAGTCTGTGGGGGAGAAATTTTTAGTTGGTTTAGGAAATCTATTAAAATTAGTTAAAACTAATAAATACGTTATAAACACTTTTTTTTTCCTCCAAATATGTCTTTATTTATAAAAGGGTCAAGGATGAAAAAGAGAAAAAGTAAACAAAAAAGAGAGAGAGAATGCATGAAAAGAAAAGATAACAAGAGATAATAGAATTAATTAGGAATAAAATTTGTCAAAAAATACATTTAATGTTCACGCAATCTCAAGGCCAAAAAAATGTTCATACAATTCCGGACTGCATTTTATAAAAAAAAGACTAAACCAACTCAAAAATTAAGACTAATCATATTAATTAATTATTTTCTCACGCATAACAAAGCAGTATAACCTGTAATCCTTGTAAGAAACGGGAATTTAAAATTTACAACAATTACACACACCACATGCTTGTCATAAAATACCTCTAAGTAGAATTTCTCAGGTCAGGCTACATTCTCCAGCATGTTATTGATCATTTAATAAATATGACTGACTTTTAACGAAATGTGAGAAACAATAACTTGTTACTTCTAGTCTCTGCCTATTTTCCGTATTGTTTTAATAACTGGACATCACAATCAGTGTCTCTTGTATCAAGATCTGCAATTTAACTTAATAACAAATTGAAGATCATTTTCAAATTACAAACTCACACGCACGCATCCTGGTTTAAGTACATAACTTCCTAAAAGCAGAGAGAAAAAGAAAGCAAGCATAACAAAGTGAAGAAAGCAATTATTTTGAAGGAAAACAGAAGAAATTCCAGCTCATCACTTTTTTTTATGTCCAACAACAGTATGGATACTTTTTCCCATTAAGCAGCAGCATCTGTCGGTTTTTAGTGTCAGCTTTTCTTGGCCGAGAATGATGACTAAATACATATAACATGTCAAACTGCAAAGATGAAAGAATATGACACTATCAGTTAATAAACTTTTTTGGGTATAACATTAGTGATATTAATGATTGAATATAGGGTTTGCATCAGAAAGAAGATATGCAACTAAAAATCAATTTCAGGAATTTAATTTTCTTGGTTACCCTCAAATCTCGGCTTGCCCCAATCTGCATTTGATGTGATAGTAATCAGCACATTGCCCATCATTTGATCAGTACTTGGTTTTGAAATCCAGAGAAAATGAAAGCTTCACTGCTTCACCACAATTTGCACCTACAAATACGAGGGGCTAAATCTTGAAGACTCTTTCCTTAACCTCTGTTGACTGTCGCAGAAGTTGAATTATTTTGTAAATAGACAGAAATCTAGGAAAATAGAAGGATTCTGAAAAATAGTTTCGTTCTTAAATATAATCATCTTAAGATTTGGTTGGTTATTTCACTTCAACGCTTTTTTTATTTTTAATTACGGTATCGAACGAAACTAGGGTATGCATACCAAGTTTCCTATTATGTTATGCTTTGCTGGACTTCTGCATCAAGAAACATATTAGCGTAGTTGTTTAACATGATACATACTCATTGTAAGAAGCCAAGAAAGTGAAATCCCAATTTTGGAAATAACAGGATATAAACACATCAATAAAATTAAATATATTGCAAAGCAACATGTGTTTATTTAAAAGCATCATCTATATTTGCCTGGAGTAGCTATGGTATATACCAATGTCAAACTTAATTAACGAAATGTAAAGGAGAGATACATACCGATCAAGTAATGGATTGTAGGTAGTTTATTTGTGATGAGTGTGTTTCTCTGTAGATTCCAAATTCAATTGGGACAGCATAAGTAGCAACTCATCAGCATAATGAGATATCTTGGACTCAGAATTCAGGGGAATAGATTGAATGACATCTATATAAGAGTCCTTCAATTGCTTTGTTGAAGGGAGTTGATTTTGGTCATCATCAATATTCCGATGCCTCTTTTTTGGCATACTTACCTCCACTTTCTTTTGTTGGAGGAAGTTTGTGTACTCTGAGACATATATTGGCCGAACTCCACATTCTTTGATCAGGCAATCACGAATATGAAACCCATTGATCACAACATCATCAAGCTTAAAGTAAAATTCAAGCCCCTCGTCATAACCTTTTCCCAGTTCGTGTAGTATGTGTTCACAAAAGAGGGGATCATACCATAGAAACACATTATCATATGAATTCAATTTTTCCATTGAATAGTGCCATCCTTTTGAGATGGGCAAATTTTCCTCATCAAACCAATAGCATCCACATGATGAGTGACATTGATCCCTTTCTTTTGAGGAGAAGTGAGGTATGACAAAGCAGAAAATGAAACCTATTAAGTTTTCAAAATATGGAGGAAGCTGAACACTCACTTGTATACCTTTATACCCTATTATTGAACTTTTGTAAGTAAACCACTCTGGAATAGTACTTCCTTCAAAATTGCCACATTCTCCTTGCGTTAATGAGAATCTAACATATTGGAGCATTTCATGAAATGAATTCTCATCAGCATAGTGATAGGACTCTTTTTGGGTAACCAAGTTTGGCTCCCGTCCCATTTGTTGAATGAAGTCGTGATATTTCGAGGCATATATTGGGCAGACTCCACATGCTTCAATCACACAATCAACAAGCTTCTCTTCAAAGTTGGCAACAGAGAATTCAAATGACACCTTTGGCCTGTAATTGGTGTTTTGGTTGTCCGTTGCTTTGTGGAAGTTTTTCAATAGGTGAGGATCACACCACAAAAAAACATGACGTGATTCCGAATTTTCATCATCATAAAATTCTGAATTTTCATTCTTATAAAAACCAAACTTTGAGCATCCGCATCGCTTACCATCATAATAAATTTGGCATTGCACGTCATCGTTATAGGAATGCCGAGAAAGAATACAGCAAAAGATGAAGCCGATTAGGTCGTTTGTGGCTAAAGGAGACTCAATAGTTATACAGTTGGAAGCCTCTGTTCTCTCATTAGATCCAAACCACTTTGGAACTTTTATTCCAGGGTAACAGACAGCACCGCCTTGGTTTGTGTACATCAATCGCTTCAATAAGAAATAAGTACTTTCCGTCACATGAGACAGAGAGCAGTTCTCCAATTTCAAGCAATCTCTCAGAAGTAGCAACTTCAATTGTGGTGCAAAAGGTATTGAAATGTCTACAATCTCCAATGATATGCAACCACTAGTGAAGACGGTTTCTGTGGATGGCGGCAGTTTTGGCAGAGAATGAAGTCTTGTACAATTAGTCAGCGTATATTTTTTGTAGATTTCGGAGATACTCGATACTAGCAGGCAGAGAACGAAGCCTTGTACAATTAGTCAAGCGTATTTCTTTTAGATTTGAGAGATACTTGATACTAGCAGGCAAGCTCACTACCATAGTTCCACTCAAATCCAGTGAAGACAATGAAGATAACGAGCCGATGCTTTCAGGGAGTTCACACAACTGTTTACAGCCACCAAGAAAAAGATCTCGAAGATTTTGGGGATAACTGGGTGAGGAACGGAGTGCTGACCCCAACGTTATTTCATCTGCCAACAATGGAGATTGAAGGAATTGTAGCGTCTTTAATGATGTGCAGCTGTTGGCATGTAATTCTTCAATGGATGGAGGAAGTCCCGGTAAAGATTGAAGGTATCTGCAACCGCTTACATCAAGAGAATGTAGCCTCGAGAGATGCTTGATATTGTCTGGAAGTTCCGTTAATGTGCATGAGCCTTTCAAAGAAAGTGATTCCAGATATCGCAAAGCATCAAATAAGCTATGGAGCTTTGATTTGTCAATCATTCCCGTGCAATAATCAAGATGAAGCTCCTCAAGAGATCTCATGCAACAAATGTCGTTAATGGGAAGATTCTTTAGTTTCAAACCATTAAGAGAGAGACTCTGAAGGTTCTCCATATGCCCCATTGAAAAGTCTATATTCTCGACTGGTGAGGTCCATAAATATAAAGAAGTAAGTTTGTCCGAAGAGAATGAAAATTCCTTGAGACCATCGCAGTCATCCACATCTAGTCGCGAGAGCGATTTTGATTGACTCTCCGTTTTCAAACTCTTTAGGTTTCTGCAAAGTGCAAGATTCACAGACTTCAATCTCGGAAGAGATAAAACGGATGGATGAAGATGGCATAAACTTTCACAGCTTTGAAGAACAACCCGTTCAAGTGTTTTAGCTGCTGACAAATCTGGCAACTCTATCAATTGTCCGGATCCCCAAAGGTCTATATTCCTTAAATTCACCAAGTCCTGCAACAATTAAAAAGAGAAATATTACATAGGAAACGAGAGTCTTAAATTTGAATCAAATTGTAAAAAAGAGAAAAATTATAAGACTCATATTTGTATGTTATACCTGCTTGCCATCCCATAGTTTTTGAAGGCGGCTACAGGGCATGTGAAGTTCAACTAGCTTCTCAGCACAGAATGACAATGGCAAAGACTTTAAAGGAAAATTGTCCCATCGAAGATACCGTAATGAATTAGGAAATGATTCAAGCATTGGAGGAAGATTCACAATACACGACCTCTCATGGTTGGATGAATAGAGTTCCAGAAACCTTAAATTTGGCATCTTTCCAAAGGCATCAGCACTGAATTGTAATTCCTTAATTTGAGACAAATCTAAACTTATGCCTTGAATTGCATCACTTCCCTGAACAACACAAAAGCCCAAAAGAAAATAAATAAATAGCTTTATATTAACAATTTCTTTTCATTCGTTTTCAAATGTTTAATTAGAAAGGTAAATATTTTTCTTACTAGATTATGTTTTAGAACGTCGACGATCTCATCGGAATTCCATAGTCGACTATGCCCTCCAGGATTCTTACAATCTTTGCGAACAATTTCAAAAGCCATTGATTGAATTAAATCATGCATCCATACCACACCATAACTAAGACTTATCAACGCCCTATCCACAAGTATTCCCAAACCAATGCCTGTGTGAAAGCCAAAGATCTCTAGCATTGCTTCTACATGTTGTCTAGTTTTACCTTTAAAAAAACAAGCAATGTCTAAAAATATCTCCTTCACTTCATCATCAAGTCCATCGTAGCTTAATTTTAACACAGCTTGAATATCTGGATGGGGTGTCCTTTCTAATTTCCTCAATGCACTTTCCCATACTTCTACAGTTCTGGAATAAAGGAATGAACCCAAAACGGTTAAGGCTAATGGAACGCCTTGGGCATAAGCAAGAGCTCTTTCAACTAGTTCTTTATATTCACGTTTAAAACCATCTTTGCGGAAGGCTTCACGGTTGAAAAGCTCACAGGACTTGTCGGAGCTCAATGCCTGGGCCGTATGTATTTCATCAACTCTTCCAATAAGCACATGCCGATCTCTACTTGTCAGGATGATTTTACTACCAGGTCCCAAATGAGGAACTTCACTTTCCAACTTATCTAAATGCATTGTGTTGCCAACATCATCAAGTACAATCAAAACTTTTCTACGATTGAGCCTCTCAAGAGATATATTCTTTGATAGTTCACTGAAAAGTTTGTCACGTACATATTCAAACCCATACTTTTCATACTTTTCTGTAAAATCTTCTAAGAAGCAGCAACTATCAAATTGAGAGCGGAGTTTGGCAAACACAACCTTAGCCATTGTTGTTTTGCCTATCCCGCCCATCCCCCAAATCCCAATTGTTGAGGATCTTTCTAGGAACGACTCAATACGATCCAAATTCTCATCAATTCCAACAATATTTTTTAATACACTTCCTGAGTACCCATGGTTCAATTTGTTGATGATGTCATTGACAATATTTTGAATGAGTTCTGCTTCATCCCTGCTATAAGAAAAAGAATTATGGAAGAAAATATTATTGTATCAAATGAAAATTAATTAAGAAATAATATATTAAATAAAGTGACAACTAATTGATGACAGTGTTTTTACATGATAAGATTATTTTTTTTAAAAAGTGACAAATTTCTTCATAGTTTTATCAAAATTGTGTGGATATTTTCCTCCATTTTTAAAATTATTAAGAAGTATTCATTCAAACATAAGAAATGTATACATAATTTACTCTCCTATATGAGTTATTTGTAATGACAATTAATTCAAAGAAAGGTTACATTGAAGAGTTAAAAAATCAACTTTCATCTGATAGGAGAAAAAAGGAAAAAAGAGCCCAAAAAAAAGAAAAATCAACCTTCAGGGCCAAGGTATCTAATTTTGAGATGACACTATTTAAACAATGTTTTTTTTCATGTAAACCCAATATGTCATATATACACGAGTATTGCAATGAACATGATCCAACATCATTACTCGCTACCAATTAATTAGTTGTCAGATAAGCTAATATGAAAAGAAAAAGCACTTTATATGAATATGAAGCCCAATCACAGGAATAAGTAAAAGTATGAAACTCTAATTCAGATACTTAGAGTTAGAGAATGAAGAGTGTGACCTGTAGTTGCGGGAGTCCCATCCTGCTAAATTCGCAATCTCAAAAAGTGCTTGTCTCCACTCCCTCACCTTCGTTGGTTTTTTCTCCAAATGTTCTAAGAATGCTCTCTCATAAGTTCCTTTCTGATTGCGCACATGAGATGGGTCGATTTCATAGAAGATAGGAACAACAATCTGTGCCTGCTTTTGTTTGCAGCGAAGGATCTGAAGGAGCTCATTCAAACACCATTTGGAGGACGCATAGTTTTGAGATAAGACCACCACAGAGATGGATGAATCCTGAATTGCTTCAATGAGTGATTGGGAGATGTCATCACCTTTTGGGAGCTTATGATCAATGTATGTCTCAATACCTTCGAGGCATAAGGCAGTATGGAGATGGTTGGTGAAGGATCTGCGAGTGTCCTCTCCTCTGAAACTCAGAAACACATCATATTTCCTGGAAGAGGAAGAAGATGATGAAGCTATAACAAACATGGTATTCTGATTACTCTCTCGGATCTCCCTGTGTCTTCTTTGCTGAGAAATGGCAAAAGTGAACTGATGATGGAGTATGTATGGCAGCGGATAGACTTTATTTACTTTTTCAAGTCTACAAAGGCAATGACACGGCAATGACACGGCAACTGATACTTCTACCGTTCTCACATTGGAATTAATAACAAATTTCAGTCCCATCCTACCCCCACCGCCTTTCTTTGAGCGACAAAAAGTAATTTTATTTTTATTTTTTAATTTTAGACAAAAGATCATGACAACATTGTCCCTCATATAGTCATATATACCATGAATCAAAAGGGAAGGTTGCACCTCCAATTGTAGGGTACATTGTGTCTGAATGGGTGTTACCTTCGTTTTTTTTTTTTTTCCGCATGTGAATGGTTGGCACGTAAAAGGTGACGTTGATGCTTCATGCCAGTTGCTCTGTTACTTCTCTGCAACTTCCCGCCACTTAAAGTATGATGGTAGGGTAATTGCTATTAGTATTTTTTATTTTTAATATAAGAGTTACTTAGATAATTTTGATATATTAAAAAATTTAAATAAATATTTAATTATAATATAACATGGCATGATTTTTCTAAAACATTTTTATAAACTATCAGATTATATACTAATTTATAATATAGATAAATTATTCTCAGAAAAAATGATAAATATGATAGGTGAAGTAGATTGAAATCTTATACTCCTCTGATCCTTAATATAAGACCTAATTATTGAGTTGATTTTGATCCTAAATATAAGATCTATTTATTATATTTATCAATTTTTTCTAAATTACCTTTCTGAATATTCCCTCAACCATAATCAAGTAAAATTGGGAGGATATTAAGGAAGATAATTATGGTGTTTTAGAAAAACCATGTTATATTTCTTATAATTAACTAACTTACCTAACTTTCTTAATTTAATTAAATTAGTTAAATAGATCTCAGAGAAGTATTTAAAATCAAATCTAACGCCCTCAAAGAAGTTAGGAGAGTAATTGCTAGTAATTATGTGGTCAATTTTGTTTCCAAGTGTGTTTAATGATAGGTTCTAATATTTGTTTTCTTTTTTTTGGGACCAAGCTAAAATATAGCATTATTCAGAATTCAAAGTCTTTGGCGGAATGCATGCGTTGGCCTTCATATTAAATTGGCCCATTTCCTCTCCAGAAAAGTTGTGCATAAAGGGAAGAATAAATGACCTTAAAACTTTAGCTTAGTTTGGATGTAAAGGAAAATAAAAAGAAAATAATATTCCGAAGGGAAATTCCAAAAAAAAAGAAGAAGAAGTAATTTTCTAATTATTTTTAGAAGTTTTGTTCATAGTATTTTCTCCCCTCATTTTTAGCAATTTTTTCTTGCATCCAAACCTAGCCTTGTTGTATTTGATCAGATAACATAAACTCTACATGGATATAAGAACTTGCATTGCAAAAAAATAGGGGAGTAGTAACGAAATTTAGTAATAAAAATTTTCGTCGCTTAATTATTGACGGATTATTGATAAATTCTGTCACTAAATTTTGGGACTTGAACTTGATACCCAAAAAGACCCCACTAGACGAACTTGTTGTTAGTAACTTTATATTTCTTTTTGTTAGTTGGGTTTGGGTACTAAATAGATTAATAAATATCAAGAATTAGTCATGATTCATTAGATGATGTCTGGATCTAATTTGAATTGAAGGAGTATTTTAATTCTAAATATAAGAATTTAATATATTTTATCTGTCAAATTTATAATTTCTTTTTATGCTTTTAATGTGGTAGTTTTCAATACAATTATTAAAGGAGTATTTAGGTAAATCAAACACATATTTTTTAAATAATAAACTTAATTCTATAAATTAATTACATAACTTTTATATTTAAAATTGGAGGGAGCATATGTTATTTTTCTGGGGCAAAGTAATTATGAAGTCAAGTCTTTGCAAGAATTACATCTGCATGTGAAAGCTTCCGCGTAACTAAGGTCCAATAAAATGAGTGGCCTACGCTGAAAAAGTTTACGATGATGCTCTCATGCCAATTGCTTTGCTATTTCACTGCAACTTTCTCTCCGACGGAATAATAATTACTCTCTGCAGCTTTCACCAAGTGATGGTAGGGTCAGACTTTTAATTGTCAGAGATGGTGGGGTCAATTGTGTTTGCAAACGCGTTAAAGTTCTCATTAATATGTGTTACTTTTTGGGCCAAAACAGCATCTGTTGTTTAGAACTCAATTCTCTGGCAGAATTGCAAGGTTGGCTTTCCATATTAAAACCAGAGCTTGAGGAAGCAGAAACCACTGCAGTTTGTTTCAAAGTGTAGAAAGAACAGTTTACACGCGCACTCTGGCAAAAGTGATGAGAAAGTGGGGTATGGCAGCGAAGACTTGACACACCTTTAATTCTTCAGACCCAAATCAACATCACTTGTGGCATAACTCCTAATACATGAAATTGGATGGATGGAACCGAAAGTGAATATGGTCAGCTGTTAAGAAGAAAGGACAAAATTATTAGTCAATTGATATGAAGTCAAAAGTCACTTTTTGTTGTGGAAAAACCATAAAGTCACTTTGATAAAGGAAGACTTGCATGCGTGATGAAAGGCTGGCACTCTGGCAGCTTCTAGGAAGGAAAGGTTTTGCATCTAATCATTTGATGAGCGAAAGTGGGTGCTATCATTTAGTGAATTACAACAGCAACTTGTTAATGTGTGATTTAAATATTAAAAAAATTATTTAAATTAGTTATTTATTAAAAGATGTATGTTAGTCTCATCTAATTATATATATGCATAACCATCACAACACATGGAAACTTCCTTGATATGTACAATCAATAAAGATATATAGTTAATAGGGAGAAGAATTATAAGGGAAAAAAATAAATTAAAATCTTATATTTAAAATCAAAATTAATTTATCAACTTGTTTCCGATTATAATGATTATTTCTTAGAAAGGTGAATGTATTTGAGGAACTGTATCACTGTTTTGCAAGAATGGATTTTGTTTTAATAATCACAAATCTAAATATCCCACATAAGCTTTAATCTGTAACTGTTTAACATTTGTAAACATTATTTCTTGTAAAAGTTTTATATGGTATATATAAAAGTAAATTTAAAAATAATCCTAGACATGATGGCTTTTCTTTTATGAGGAACCGTTGGCAAGTTGCTATGAAACTTCATAAGTTTCACGAACTATTTGAATTAATAACTACAAAAACGAAGACTTGTTAATGTGACAAATCCCACGGTTTACGGTGAGGAACAAAAAGTTAGCCGGCGTGTGAATGGGCTCACTTATGTTTAATAGGTAGAACATTGACCAGCGATCTAACTTTTGTGCTTTGGGCTAGGTTGTCATGTGAAGAAAATGAAGAAAATAAAAAGGATCCGCATGATGTTTGCTTTCTAAATTCTAAATGATTAATTGTCTCAGATTATTGACCGCAAAAGTAATGGCGCATTACCGTTATTATTTAATCATTATCTGTCATATACGGATCTTGCTGTGGGACAGGGGCTACCATTATTCATTAATCAAAGCATTAACCGGTCGGCTTTCTGATAATTGCTTTTCTCCAGCTTTTATTTTCTCCATAGAGCTATGCTTGTAACGATGCTCGCTAAGTGGCTTCGATTCATCGTAATTAGAGCTCAACGTCAAGTAAATTCTCAAAAGTGCGTTAAAAAAAAAAAAAAACAGAAGAAGCATTTTTCTTTACCAGCGTAAGAAAACTCATGAACTCATAGATGACACGACTCATGAATAGGGACTATGAGCCACGAAACTAAGCTTGCAACTGCAAGAGCCATATGTTATTCAGTTAATGCTCTATCTAAAGCTCTTTTCAGCAGGTCAGAACTCAGAAACGTTGCAAATTAACCAATTTACAAAATACAAGAAGGGTAAAAAACCATTTGCCTTGTTAACAAACACAGCATAGTTCAAACCGGAAACCGGTGAACCCGCTATTTGTCCAGTCTGGTTCACCCCTTGAACCGGGGAAAATCTAAACTGGTGGGGAACCGGTTAAACCGGTGCGACCCGGTCAAATCCCGGGTAACCGTTGGGTTTGGTGGGTTACTCGTTCACTTTGTGGGGGGAGAAAAAAACGCAGAGCTCAAAAAAAAAAAAGAAAGGGAGTCAGTGAGTCACTGGAAAAGAAAAGGAGAGGAGGAAGAGAAGGAAGTTTGAGAAGAAGAAAGAAGTACTCTGATGAGGATCTACGTAGCTAGAAAGCCGTGAATCAAGTACTCCAAGCAAAAGTTGATGAAGAAGTTCCATATTGGTTCAAACAAGAAAAATGCCTTGGTACTTAAAGTGAAGAAGCTAGATGAAAAAACTAGGTCCACTGCTCTAGAGAAAAGATTGACAGAGGTAAGGGTAACTATACAAAAGGCTAGATCAGAGAAGATGAACCAGGCAGATCGTGCAAATGCATATCAATACGCCCAGGAGAATAAAATGGGCTCTGGGCATGAAACTCAGGAAAAAAAGTTGTGGTTTTTTAATGTGAATCACGGAATTGGGAAGATAAACTCATGAAACAAGAAAAGAGGAAGGCTGAAGCAATGATGACTAATCTGTAGCTATGAGCCTATGACATGTCTTGCATCATTTTAGGTTTTTTAATTATTATTATTTTGGAAGTGCAGCACGTGATCTCTAATCTCTCCTCTTCTAATCCTTTACATAAAAATAAAATATTAATATGACACATTCTTCTATGAATATATTAGTTCTTTTGTAATATGTAATATTTTTATTATTTAATATGGTAATTTGTAAATATTATTTTATTTTTAATTAAAACCGGTTTAAATCCAGTTCAACCCCGATCTGATCCATTAACCTTTAACCCATTATCTTGACCGGTTTAGTGACCGATCCGGTTTTTTGTACATTGAGAAAATTTGAAGAACTAGTGTGAGTTCCTACACTCGATTTGAGGGTTTTGTTAGCGAGTGATTTGTAAATTTTTTTGTAA